GCCCGACTGCCCGGTTCAGCCGACTGGCAGTCCGGTCCAGACTGGTTCAGATCGGCTGGACCGGTTCAGTCCGTATGTTATAGTTTCAGTCTCGGTTGCTGATTTCAGTATTATTTTTAGTTAAAATTCTGGGTTCAGTTCAGTTTAGTTCCGTACTTAACCGGTTCCAGCTATACCGATTAAGTCTGGATATCATGTTAAGTCGAGTAGAGCATCTTAACATAATTAATCAGTTAATTTATCAGGCTGAGCATAGTCCTTAGTAATTGTTTATTTTATTTTTTAGTTTGATCAGGCATCAGCACTACCTGCATTTTCAGCAGTTCAGGTGGGAACTCAGACTAAGTACTACATTGATTATAATATCGCTACCATGGTTGAGGTATGTATATTCAGTATCCGCTCGGAATGGTCGCTGGTCTATTCTGGGTTCTAGTGGCCCTAATCTGCCCACTAGAGTGTGCACATGGTGTCCGGTATTAGTTTTTGCCGGTAGATGTTCAGTTTCAGACACGTGACTTATGTCACTAGATCAGTATCAGATTATTCAGACCGGTATCAGATATCAGTTGCAGTTTCAGTTCAGTTATATATACCAGGATCATGATATTGTTATTATTTTCACTGTTTTACTTTAGTATGGGTTTCCACGGAGCACAGTGTTTTAGTGCTCAAGTCCCACATATTTCATGTTTTTCAGGTCACGGAGTCGGGGACGAGGAGTGAGCTGACGAGCTGTTCAGGACATTTGTTTTGTTATGTATAAACTATGTTTGGCCACGCTACCTTTCCGCTAAAACTTTCAGTACTTAAACTCAGTTTTTGATCCGACTTTAGTCGGTTAATACTTTATATAACCGTTTTTATTATCAGTTTAAAAATTAACGGTTTTTCAGTCAGATTTTCACGGTAGCACTCCAAATCAGTTTTCGCAAAATAAATATTTTATTAACTTATTCAGAAAATTTGCGAAAAATGTGTACTCTGATTGCAGTAAAAGGCGGGGTGTTACAATTGGTATCGGAGCACGTTTCTGCGTCTCTGAAAAATTTTATAAGCCAGATATTTTCAAAAAAATCTGAACCGTCACGCTCACGCCTCGCCGACTACAAATAAGTGCTGATTTATGTTTTCAGTTATAAACATATTACTGTTGTCTATGCTTAGAAATTATTAATCAGGACTTAGTTAAGATGCTTGAATCAGGATCAGACTTTAGAACTCAGTGTACTCAGATATAACTCTAGCGTCTTCAGGATTTATATCAGTATTTTCAGGCCATTTTGGCAACTCGTCAAGAGATTTGTGTACTTTAGAAATCAGTCAGAATATTTTTCAGGTGTTCAATAATTTGAACTTTTTCAATGTTCAGATGCCGCCCGTAAGGAACCAGATCACCCAGTTCTTCCTCAGGCCACGATGGTCGCACAGTTTCGCGACTATCACCCTGAGAAATTTTCTGGGCAGGCAGACCCCCGTATCGTGGACGAGTGGATTCAGGGCCTTGAGTTTATTTTCAAGGTCATGGATTGTCCAGACAGATATCGCGTAATCTGCGCTCAGCTTCAGCTAACCGGTGATGCTCGGCTCTGGTGGAATGCCTACTGGAGCATGCGTCCTGGCGAGAAGGCGGGATGTACATGGGATATGCTCAAGGAGCTGATCCGCGAGAAGTACTACCCCACCTACTATAGAGCATAAATGGAGCGTCAGTTTCTTTCGCTCAAACAAGGTACTCGGTCTGTTGACGAGTACGAAAGAGAGTTTACCAGACTTGCAGCTTTTGTTCCGGACCTGGTTCGTACGGAGGCACAGAGGGCACAACGCTTCATTGACGAGCTTTACCCAGCAGTTTGTCACAACATTGTAGGTCACGGGACCCAGACGTATGCACGTGCTGTTTCGATTGCCCAGAAGGTGGATGCCAGCATTCGAAGGGAGGTGAACCTTGATCGATTGCAGCCAGTTGCCCCTGCCCAGTCTTCTACAGCTCCACCGATGCCACCAGCCACTGCCCAGCCACCGAAGAATAACAAGAGGAAGGGGAAAGGTGCCCCGATGGACAAGAGGACCCAGCGGAGGCTACAACAGGTTCCACAGTGCCCGACTTGCGGACGACTTCACCGCGGCGAGTGTCGATTCGGCCAGGATATATGCTACTACTGTCATGAGCCCGGACACTTTGCTAACCGTTGTCCGAAGAAGGCACAACAGCCCCAGCAGCCTCAGCAGCCACATCAGCAGCAACAGCAACCCCGTCAGCAGGCTCAGAGGCCACCACAGCAGCAGCAGCAGAGGGGCAGACAGTAGGCCCGAGTCTACGCAGTCGATTAGATCGAGGCCGAGCAGCAGCCAGGTACTATGTCAGGGATGATCATGCTTAATAATATACCTGTGTTCGCTTTATTTGATACTGGAGAGACGCATTCTTTTATTTCACGACGATGTCTTGATGCCATCGGAGTTCACGCTACCACCGCTATCGATCCTCTCGAGGTGAGTTTAGCCTCGGGACAAAAGATAGTGACTTTAGCTAAAGCCTCAGATCTCAGCCTCTCCATCGGTGGTCGTCCATTGTCTGCCGACGCATATGTTCTTGAGATGAGGGACTTCGACATCATTCTCGGGATGGATTGGCTATCTTTTTATCATGCAGATATAAAATGTCATGACCGGGAGATTACTCTCTATCTTCCGGAAGACGATTCGATTACCTTCTTTGGCAGCAAGAATCGTTCCTTACCTCATGTCGTTTCAATGACGAAAGCTACCAAGTTGCTGCGAGGAGGCAACTGCCAGGGTTATCTGGTGAGCCTTGTCGATAATTCCCAGAAAGCACGATCACCTCACGATGTTTCGGTTGTTCGTGAGTTTGTGGACGTGTTCCCAGACGAGCTTCTAGGAGGACCGCCTAACCAGTAGGTGGAGTTCTCCATCGATCTCATCCCAAGAGTTGGCCCAGTATCCAAAGCCCCATACCGTATGGCGCCGAAGGAGTTGCAGGAGCTTAAGGCGCAGATTCAGGAGTTATTACGACTCGATTTTATTCGACTGAGCGTGTCACCTTGGGGAGCACCCATTCTCTTTGTCAAGAAGAAGGACGGATCCATGCGCATGTGTATCAACTACCGGTATCTTAACCGGTTGACAATAAAAAACAAGTATCCGCTTCCCAGGATTGACGACTTATGCGATCAGTTGAGGGGAGCCTGTGTACTCTCAAAGATTGATTTGCGATCAGGCTACCACCAGCTGAAGATTAAGGAGTCAGATATCACTAAGACCGCTTTCAGGACTCGTTACGGCCATTACGAGTTCGTCGTCATGCCATTCGGTCTCAGCGATTCTCCAGCGGTTTTCATGGACCTGATGAACCGTATTTTCCGTCCCTACCTCGATCAGTTTGTTATTGTCTTTATTGACGATATTCTTATCTACTCGAAGACCCATAAGGAGCACGAGGAGCATCTGAAGGTGGTTCTCGAAACCCTCAGACGAGAAAAGTTGTATGCCAAATTCTCTAAATGCGAGTTCTGGCTCCAGCGAGTAGCTTTTCTGGGTCATGTGATTACTCAGGCAGGTATCGAGGTGGATCCTTCTAAGGTCTCAGCTGTTCAGAACTGGTCGACACCGAAGAGTCCGTCTGAGGTTCGCAATTTTCTCGATTTAGCTGGTTATTATCGCCGGTTCATCGAGGGCTTTTCCAAGATTGCCCTCCCACTATCCCAGCTGACGAGGAAGTCTGTGAAGTTCGAGTGGACTGATCGTTGTGAGGCGAGTTTTCAGGAGCTCAAGTGGAGATTAACTTCAGCCCCGGTATTGACTATTCTCGATCCTTCTCGGAGTTTCACCATTTTCAGTGATGCTTCGAAGCAGGGACTGGGATGTGTACTCATGCAGGACGGCCAGTTCGTTGCCTATGCTTCACGTCAGCTCAAGCCGCATGAACAGAACTATCCGATGCACGACTTCGAGTTAGCCGCAGTTGTTCATGCCCTCAAGATTTGGCGGCACTATCTTTACGGAGGTCGTTGCGAGATTTTCACAGATCATAAGAGCCTGCAGTACATCTTCACGCAGAAGGAGCTTAACATGAGACAGCGCCGTTGGCTCGAGCTCATCAAAGATTACGATTGCTCGTTTCAGTATCATCCGGGGAAGGCGAACGTCGTTGCTGACGCCCTAAGCCGAAAGGTGAGGGGTGACTTGACGTACGTCGTTACTCAGCAGAGTCCGTTGATCCAGGAGTTTACCCGGATGCAGCTTCAGGCGGTCGACGCACTTCCCACAGCTCTTTCGGGGAGTGTCAGTGCCAGCATCAGTGCTATGCAGCTTCAGCCGATGCTGAGAGAGAGAATCCGGCGGGAACAGGCTTCTGACGAGTTCGTTCGAGTAATGGAGGCCAAAGTCCGCGCCAGAGGCGTCGAGGATTCTCAGTTAGGTTCAGATGGTGCCTTAGAGTTCAGAGGCAGGATCGTGGTCCCGAAAGTCGAGACGTTGTGGTAGGAGATATTATCAGAGGATCATACCGCACCCTACTTAGCCCATCCCGGGAGCACGAAGATGTATCATGACCTGAAAGGGTCATTCTGGTGGCGCGGAATGAAGAAAGACGTCGCCGAGTTTGTCAGGAGATGTTTTACCTGTCAGCAAGTCAAAGTCGAACATCAGAGTCTGATCGGCCTCCTACAACAACTGCCGATTCTGAGGTGGAAGTGGGAGGAAGTCATAATGGATTTCATTACGGGATTACCGAGTTCGTCTGAACATCACGACGCTATTTGGTTCGTGGTCGACAGATTGACTAAGGTCGTGCATTTCTTACCCGTTTCGATGAAGATGTCTTTGGATAAGTTGGCTGAGATATATACCCGTGGGATCATCCGACTCCACGGAGTGCCCGTTACTATCGTATTAGACAGAGATCCCAGGTTCGTCAGTCGATTCTGGCACAGTTTACACGAGGCGATGGGCACAAAGCATGAGTTCAGTTCAGCCTACCATCCGGAGATAGATGGTCAGTCCGAGAGGACCATTCAGACACTTGAGGATATGCTTCGCGCTTTGGTTGTTGACAGGGGTGCTAAGTGGGAGTCGTTGTTGCCGTATGCTGAGTTCGCGTACAACAACAGCTATCATTCTTCCATTCAGATGGCTCCTTACAAGGCACTCTACGGTCGCAAGTGTCGTTCCCCTCTTTATTGGGACGACGTCGGAGAGCGACGAGTACTCGGTCTGAAGATGATCGAGGAGACGGCAGAGCAGGTCGAGTTGATACGACAGAAACTCAGGACAACTCAGAGTCGACAAAAATCTTCAGCCGATCATCATCGATGAGACATTCAGTTCGAGGTTGGCGAGCCAGCTTTACTTAGAGTTCGTCCTATTCGCGGAGTTGTTCGATTCTGGAAGAGAGGAAAGCTACACCCTCGATTCATTGGCCCGTTCGAGGTTCTCGAGCGAGTACGCGAAGTTGCATATCGATTAGCCTTACCTCCCGAGCTATCAGGCCTTCATAATGTTTTCCACGCATCTATGTTGCGTATACGTGTGCGACCCCGATCATGTCATTCCTCATTCAGATATTCAGGTTCAGCCAGACTTATCGTACGAGGATCGACCGGTAGCTGTACTAGACCGTCAGGTTCGTCGGCTCTAGAAGCGAGATGTTCCCCTCGTGCGTATTCAGTGAGATCGCCACGGAGCTACTTGGGAGGCAGAGGCCAATATTCGAGCTCGTTTTCCAGATTTCCAGTTTTGATGTACATATTTTCATAATCCATGTACATATTTCATGTTAATCAGTTATGTTTTGAATTTCCAAGGACGGAAATTTTTAAGGAGGGAGGATTGTAATATCCCGTCAGTTTATTAATATCAATCGGTTTTAGTTCCGATATATTAATATTGTCGAGTATTAATTTTCGGAATTAATTATTTTCAGTCGAAATTATCCGAAATTATTTTCGACGCTCCGTTTACGTTCGGAATAATTTTGGTAATTAAGTATTATGCTTAATAAATTAATTAAGCACAAAGTGATGATTAATGACTAATTAATTATGCTTAATTGGTCATAAGTCGTAGCAATTGGGTCCATTATTTGCAAATTTTTAAAATGCCGTAGGCATTAAAAAATTTGATTTTCCCTCAATTCTTTTAAAAAGCCGTGAGTTGTTTTCTTCAAAAGGAAGAATTCTTCTTCCTAAGCAAGCATGAGTGGAGTATATATGTGATGAGTCATCCTTAACCCCTCTATCTAGCTTCCAAGTGTCAAGAAAGGGTGAAGACAACAAGCCATTTCATCACCCAATTTTCCCCATTCGGCTTAGTATATATAGGTTGAGAATTTTAGAAAATTTCCTCACTTTCAGCATATATATTTCGTATGTGAGGAATTAGAGAGTTAGAGAGAAATTTACCTTAATAAGCTCAAGCAAGGAGGTTTAGCACCGCACCGCACGTAAGCTTAGCCGAGCACCGCACGCCGCACCGCAAGCCTAACGCACACACACAGGCACGTCCGCTCGCGACGAGGTTCTAGTACTTCGGGTGTAATTCACAAGCAAGTGAAGAGCTAATGGCGGGAGATATCTCTTTCTTATATTAGTACTATCACGTTCAGTTCATGTAGCCAATTTCATAGTATCATCTTAAGTCGCCTCGGCCGTGTGTTTGGCGTGCGAGTAACTAGCAAGCATGTTCATGTTGTTGAGTAAATCTCTTGAGTATTGGTAATATAATCAGCCTTTGTATTCAATATCATGTTCAGTTATATTGTGTTGCTCGATGTATGTTCATTTTGTTTGGTGATTCAGCCGAGATGCGTGGTAGCGCACGTCGCGCGCCCACGGGCCGAGCATGATGATGGATTATGTTAAGTATTAAACCATCGACCTTTCCATGTCAACTCATTCAGCAAATGTCATTTCATGTTCAGTATTGAGTTGATTGTCGGGAGAAAATGAAGTTTGGTCGTAGAACGGCTTACCGCCGTCGGCGGCTGTAATATCCCGTCAGTTTAACAGTATAAATTATGTTTTAGTTCCGATATAATAATGTTGTCGATTATTATTTTCAGAATTAATTATTTTCAGTCGAGATTACCGAAATTTATTTTCGACGTACCGTTTACGTTCGGAATAATTTTGGTAATTAAGTATTATGCTTAAAAGTTAATTAAGCATAAATAGGTGATTAATTAAATATTAACCACTAATTAAAGTTCATTAGCCGTATTAATTATTCCAAATTATC